TATTGTGCTCGTTTTTCATTACTCGTTCCCAAGAAGAAAACCGAATGACCAAAGATGCAATGACCCTATATGAAGACAACTCACCTTCCCTTTCTAAATATAGACCACCAGGACTCGATACGCTGGTTATTTACAGATGAGCCGTACATGTGGCTGGACACAGAGTAGTAGTCACTGTGATGGTGGCGTAGGGTACATTGAATTGCAGCCATTATGCCGTTCTCAGTGCCGCAATCAGTCCTCAGTCTCATGGGGATGACACCGAGGTTTCGCACACATGACATGAAATATTGAGCAATCACTGTTGGGTTATTATTTGTTGGTCCACATTCAAGCCACAATAGTTTACGTGAAAATCCATCTATGCATCCCGAAATGGCTTATGTTTGTCGTAACCATCTGCGTGCCACATATAGTTAGGTCCCATTGAGTGATAGGTTCTTCTTGTAAACCTTCTGCGTACTCTGCTCTCACACCCTCGGGGATTGAGCTTTTGTTTAAGTACCTGCCACATCGTGCGGTAGCCAAATAGTTGTCCAGGTCCTCGAAGTTCAGATCTGATTGCGTTACTCAGGGCGTTTGGAGAGGAATAATCCTTTCTGCGGTACATCCCGGCTTCGTTCCGTTTACTTTTAAGAGTCCTCAAGCTGATGTTTACACCGTGTAGACTTGACATCATGTCCATGATTACAGCGTACGAGTGGCCCTCGTTAAAATACTGAACGCAATGATGCAGTATGTCTGGTGTTTCCGTCTGGTTCGCGTCCTTTAAAAACTCCAAACTCCGACCGCACGTAAAGCAAAATCGCGTTAAGCTGCTCATGTGTTTACCACAAAACGGGCAAAACATCCCTCGGTCGCAGTCCATGTTCGAAAAAACCAAAAACTTAAATTCCTATATGCTTCATATTCACGCCATATTCTCCACATTGAAAACACGAATTAACCGCGCTCACCAACAACACCTATCACCCGCGTTCACTCGTCACTTCCGGTATGTGGTACATTCCCTTTCCGTGAGGGATCGATCGTTTGTAAGTTTGTTTCGGGGCGGGTAAAAGTGTTTTGCGTCTTGCTAATTTGTTTTCTAAAATGTAAATTTGTTTTGTCCTTGGTAAAAATGTTTTGCCCTTGGTAAAAGTGTTTCGCCCATGTAATTGTGTTTATGGTAGGGTAAAAATGTTTTCCAAAATGTAACTTTGTCTCAAGCTTTGTAAAAGTGTTTCAGTCTTTGTAATGTTGCTTTGCACTTCCCGGCACCGTAATATAGCCTACAGTAGCTCACTCTTTAGATTCTTTCATACCTTTTGTTGTCATATAGGCTATATTAGATCATGTGCGGGGCCACATGGAGGTTGCTTCGGGGCCGGATGTGGCCCGCGGGCCGCTAATTCCTTAGGTCTGCCGTAGACTTTTCGTTCAGAGGGGGGGCCATTTGGGGGGACCAAGGGCTGTATTCCAGGGTGCCCTGTTGCCCCCTCTCAAAAACCGCCACAGGAATGTAGGCTTTGTTTGCAAATTCTATAACACTGTAACTGGTCATGCTAGGGCATTGTAAAGTTTAATCATTTGTTACAAATAATGTGGATTTACTTGGTCACAGGGACTTTATAAATTGTTCTCAAGGTGTCTTCCAGTAGGTAATCTTGGAGAGTTTAGTAGATAGCCTACATGCTTCTTTAATATACTATAAGGTCTTTATTGTTTTGCCTACCATTATAGGAATTATGTATTGTAATAGCTGAGAATTATGTTTACCTGAGTTGTTTTTTTAGTGTTGACAGATTGATAAAACAACCAAACTAAATCGACCATATCCCCGCGGCCCTGTATGCAGGATAAGCGGTTGACGATGGATGGATGGATGGATGGATAAACCGACCATATTTATTTATTGTTCAATAATTATGATTAATCTCCTCCATCCAGCACTCAAAGAGATGTAACGTGAAATATTTGCTCACCATGAACTTCCAGTCTGGTGCTTCCGTACATTATTTCCATCCGTCCTACTTCCTGTGGTATAATGAAAACAGTGTATTCTCTACTGTCACAGAGATGCAGGATATGTGAATAGTTTGATCCTGCCTTTGTAAGTTAAGTTTACACCATTTAAAGTAATTATTTTGATCATAGGTAAGTCAATAAATGCCCAGACCACTGATAGAAAGGTTTTTTTGTGGTGGAGTCAGTGTTGTGCTGCACATCACCATCCCTCCCAAAGCTGCATCCTTTGATTTGAACTGTCCTTGGATAACTATGTCCTGGATGACACTGAATCTTCACATTCAGATTTTTTATCATGTCACACATTTATTCATGTATTGAATGAAGCATACTGGCACATACTACCTTAACATCCAGTTGTTTATTTTTAACTCTTAAAATAGGAAATGAGATGGTTCATCTCAAGGGATTTATCATATTTAATAAACTTGTATCAATTAGTTTTTGCTCTTCATCCATATGTCATGTCTGAACAGAATGAATATTCAGAACCAAGCAGATGTATTTATGGCTGCACCTATCAAATCGAAATATTCTAGATGCCCTGTGTATAATTTCATAACATTTGGTGTCTTTTCAAACGCTGGGATCTCCACTAGAACCTTTAAAATTATGTTCTGTGGGTTAGAACTACGTTCATGGCTGCATAGCATGAGATTGCCATGCCTGACCCTGTCTGTGGGACATTACCTTGCTTGTTTATATTATTTAAACTTTAAGCTCTTTTACAAATAACTGATAGATCAACACCAACTTTCTGTCAAATTATATGGGCATTTTCTTTGCTACATGCAAATTACAGGTTAATAACTATGCTAAAAGGATTTTATGTACAAGTTTGGGCTAAAAGCTTACTGTGTCTTGAACTGCCTGAGTGCAAGTTAAATAGCCTATGCAAATATGCCCTATTAACTAAATCAGTTATCTCCTTTCGCCCGTGGGGTTATTAATATCACATTATCACGTCTCTTCATTATCCATCAGTAGACCAAAGCAAACACAATCACACCACAAGAGGGCGACGTCCTGCAGTTTTAGGTCATGACTACAGATTCAGTGGGCTTATCTCAATATGCAGACAGGTTGTAATTCAACAAGTAGCTCTGCATTTACTGTCACGTCCTGTAATTACAGCTGCAGGAGGCTCATATTTATTAAGACAGTCAAAGTTTGATGGTTGAACTTCCCTGAGCTGTCTCTCAAAGATAGATCAATGGATATATTACGTTTACTTTGTATCGTCTCTGTGGCTTTTACAGGTAAGAGTGTTAACGTCCTTTGCTGTCTACTTTAAAAATAGTTGAATAGTTGAAAGGTGTTTTGGGAAGGAATTTAGCTAATGATCAAGAATACAAGATCTTGTGATCTGCTGGTCATGATTTTGTGACTGAATAGCAGCATGAATAACAGCAAAAGTCCACAGAGTATCGTTAACCACAAATTTCTAAAACTGAGAATTGATTTAAAATTGGCCCTATTGCTTGTGGTTTAAATCAACATTTAAAACATAAAGGTAGCTTTATTAAAAGTCATATTATTGAAAATTTTGATAGGCTTACTGTGTTTGTATGTTCTGATGTATTTATCAAGCTTCTCAAAGTGCCATTTTAGTCTTAAGTGCTGAGAATTCATGAAATTTACTCCTACTTCTAAACTTAAGAATAAAAGCAAGTTATCAAATTTCTTAAAGCTAAGAATCACTCTTCTTCTCCCAGTTATTTAAGAGAGCTAGGGAGGTCCTCAAGTGGTTAGGAGCTGCTGTAGGGCTTGTGATGGCGCTGTGGAGACATGCGTAGAGGAGAGGAAGAATTTTGACAACGCACAGTTAATAAGAAGGGGTCTTTTTTATCTTTCATTTATTAATGTGTAGGCCTGTATCATAATGTATTCTCTTGAAAATTATTATTGTTGAATGTGTGTTGAAATAAACTCCTCTTAGTAATTTCACCATTCATTGTGAATTTATATGAGAATATTCTTAAATAAGGAAATCTATTCAGTGATTGGTCTATAGCGACATCGTCATCCAAAATCCTGTTTGCGGCACGCAAAATGTCGTAAATCAGTACAAGACTGACACTTAAATATAGTCCTACGCTTCATTCAAATTAGGACTATGCTTGATAACTAACTTTTAAGCACAGCCAAGATTTTTTCACTTTTAAGTCAGTTCTTAGCAGTGTTCTTATGAGTAATTCTGAGAAGCTTGATAAATACGGGCCCTGGTCTCTTAGTAACTTCGCCACTTTGTTAGACTTGATTTCCATAATGTGGGAAAGATCCTGGGCCAAAATGTAATCTGCTTCAAATGGTTATGATTGAACAACCTTCACGTCAAGCTCTCAACTCACTGTTTTTGCGATCAAGGATATTGTTGAAACTATTAGTTATTCTCGGACCTGTAACTGTGTTTAAAGGTTTAACCAAAGGAGCTGGTTTGTTACCAGACGGTCCTCTGAATGCAGCTGTGGGAGGGACGGTGATGTTCACCACAACACTGACTCCAGCAGAGAAACCCTTTATAACAGCAGCTGGAACATTGGTGACAGAACATAATCACTTCAAATGTTGGAAACGTAACTGGACCAGAGTATGAAGGCAGGATCACCTATTTCACATCTACTGCATCTCTGGAGCTCAGGAATCTGACTCTTAATGACAGTGGAGAATACAGAGTTACCGTTACACCACAGGGAGAAGCACAAACGCATGGACCACCAGACTGTCTGTACATGGTGAGCAAATGTTTCATATTGCGTCTCTTTCAGTGCTGAGTGGAGATTATAGCAATTGAGAAATAAATATTTTTTTGTTCACATAATTGTGTTTAGGTGTTCATTGATTTCAAATAAGACTATCTAATTATGTTATAACTTAACAACATAATAATAATTACACAATACTAAGATAAAAACAAATAGCAATACTTCTATTATTATATATATTATAAACAACCTGTAAAACCAAATTTCTGATTAAACTTCCGATGAGTGATGGGGTCTTACAACAGTTCTGGCTTGGGCTGAATGATGTAAAAAGTTATTTTGACAAATATTACGATATGAATCAAAACTAATTTGTTTTCACCCACAGAGCAGTTTTTAATGTAATAGTAAATGCCAGCAGCACAGACTTGGTGGAGTTCAGCAGCTCTGTCCGTCTGTCCTGCTCCTCTCTGGATCCTCTCTCTCTTTCCTTGGCTGAACGGCAGCTCTGAGGTTACAGCCAGCGACAGAGTTCAGCTCACTGATGGAGGCTCCACTCTCACTATAGTCAATGTGACCCGCTATGACCAGGGACCATTCAGGTGTCGTGTGTTCAATCCTGTCAGTAATGGCACCAGTGATCCTGTAAACCTAACCATCAGCTGTAAGTTGCTAACCCACATGACAGTACTTTATCTGACAACATCTGTATACAACCATCAGAGATAGTTTAGATTTTGTCACAGCTTAGTAAAGAGTGGCTTTTTTTTGTTTATTTCTTTGTTCCGTCATGGTTTGGACAACTTATTAGCAATACGATTTTCAACCTAACAGAATCCAGTTCAACTGCAAACTAAAGCACAGTGTCAACTAAGTCTTTATACAGTCATTTTCATATAGAAAGTGTTTAATGCAGGGCTGTTCAGTTACAATACACTGTACAGCTGTTTCTTTTCTTGCTCATAATAATCACTTAGAATACCGCACAGCGAGCTAAAGCTGAATGCCTTTTTATTTTTCATTACATTTTGGTGATTTGTTTTCTGTTTTTATCCCGAATTCAGATGGCCCAGAAAATATTAATTTGAAGCTTTCTCCAACACAAAAATATTATGAGGAAGGTTCAAACATCATCCTGTCCTGCTCAGCTGACTCCAGACCTGCTGCCCACTTTAACTGGTTTCTGAATGCAGACCTGCTTTCTGATACTGGACCAGAGCTCAGACTGATGAACATTCAGGAGAGTCAGAGTGGAAACTACAGCTGTCGGGCCTTAACAACAAAACGGACAGATATGAAATCTCAGCTTTCAGTTGTTTTTGTACTGGGTAAGTTTGAATACAAAGTTTTGTACAAAGAAATGTGGATTTTAATGACGGGATTTGGGGATGTACTAGTAATTGTATCAGGCAAAACTTTCTTAAATATAAAAAAGGATGTACTAACATTTGTGGCACAAACAGAAACAGTACAAACATTTGTTTGCACTCAAGATCAGTAGCACAGGAACGGTTGTTGCAAGAAAATATAACTACTACGCAACTTGAGGACAATCATAGTTAAAACAATCACTATTTAAAGAGGTAGTATTATGCTTTTTGGCTTTTTCCCTCTCCTTTATTGAGCTATATAGCTTTTTTGTGCATGTAACAGGTTTGCAAAGTCCAGCCCAAAGGGAGTACCCACTCGCACAGAAAACACTGCTCTGAACTGCCTGAAAACAGCAGTTTGTAGTCCAGCGTAAAGTGTGCGTCATATAAAGCTTGCCAAGCAGCTAGTCATACACCCTCAAAAACACCGGTGGAAAAACACTGAGCTGCAGCACACACACCTCTGCTCTCCCTTCCAAACACTAGCTACCCTCCAGGCAGTCAATGGACATAAAGTGAGACAGAGCTCAGTTATAAATTTATGGATGAAAAATACTTTTGTTGCAGATTTAAAGTTCAAAGTTCAGTTACTGTGATATAGAGTATAGTTATAAATTTATGGATGAAAAATACTTTTGTTACAGATTTAATAACACCACTCTGAAACTATTGATCCAGTCTATGTTGTCAAGCTGGTCAGCAACATGTAGGCTACAGCTGAACCGAAGCCGTGACTGCATCTGAAAAGTAAAAAAAATCTCCTTTCCTAACCACCTTTCCTTGACCTCAATGGAAAATGTCATGAGGTCAAGGAAAGATGTGAAGGAGAATTCATAAGGACTTAGGAAAAGAGGACTGCGGAGCTCAGAGAATCCGACCGCTATTTTCTAGGCGACGGCAGATGTTACTGGCGTGACCTGCAGTGATGAAACTACAATGTTCTGAAGATGGACTCCAAAAAGCGAATCTTTGACACTGCGCCCCATGTTGTTTTAATGCAGGTCATCTAAAGGTGGACAACACGGTGAATTATTACTCCATAACCAAGATAGCAAAAGGCAGATAGCTAACGTCACCAAACAAGACAGGGTCACATTGAGAATCACACCATGCCCACCCATTTTCAATGAATCCCAATTATTGTATGTAAACATAGTGTTTCCCACAGAATGAAAGGCGGGGGGAGGGGGGGGAGCGACGACCCAACAGAAGGGGTGCTTAGCGAATAGCCTAGTAGGCCAGCTCTGTGATCAAATCCAATTTTACCCATTGCCTAGTAAAAACAATAATCGAAAACGTGGCGGTCAGCGTTGATGTGTTAAACACTGACTGCAGCTTGATCATTGCCTCTATTAAGGCGAGGGTGTCGGCATCTGTGACTGAAGTAAAATTAGTGATATTACTGATGCTGGCAATACGTAGCCTAACATGAGCCTACACGCTGCAACATTATCCTCACTTTTAACATTTGACAAGACTACACAGCTCGCATGGGTCTCATTGTTGTCTCACCGGCTTCTCACTGACCCGCCCTTCTCTGCTTCTGATTGGCTAGTAATCCTTAACTGGGAACTGCGCATGTGCAACTTCCTACAAGATCATGTAGAGGCAGGACGCATCACTCCATAGCTGAAACGAAGCCTTCAACAGACAGGGTGAAAGTAGAGCTGCAGCAATGTGCAGTATGACATAATACAGTGTTTTAAAAAAAAATTTAACTATGTAAACCTGTTCTGGTACAAAACCTAAATAAGATTGTGAACCTGAAAATGAGCATAATACCACCTCTTTAAATACACAGTATTTTCGGTAACTGTAATATCTTTGCAGTAATCTAGTCTGGTGACAGATTATATTGCCTTTCACATCTCAGTTTTTTTGGAGTGACTGATAATGACATTGCCATCCAGTCTGATTGGTGGGCTAACAGTTAACTTTGCGTATATAAGTGAATGTAGTTGTGTCTAATTATGCAAGATAAACCTGTTAGATAAGCTAACACTGATAAAGCATTAAGATATAATGATCAAACAGGCAAAATGGGTTGGACAGCTAAGCTCATCCTGCTCATCACCAGTAAATAAACGGTGGAACCATAACAGAAGTAATGTATGCTATGAGTCAGGTGGCTGCAGTGATGCATATATTATCTTCAAAAAAACACTGAATATGTAGAAAAACAATTTGAACAATTTAAACAATTTATTATATTAATTCAGCCGCACTATGAAAAGCAAAACACGTGTTCCCTTGTTATTTCTGCATTTTTGCTGTAGGATTTTAATGTTAAGTCCATGTAAAGTCTCAAGTCCACATTCTCATGACTACATGTCCAACTCAAATACAAACCTTTAACACCCCTTATTACTCATAGTATCAAATGGGATTCATTCCCATGCTCTATGTTGCTACCCTCTACTGAACATTGTCCCCTGTTTTAGGCAAGAAAGCTGGCAAGTATAAAACCACTGTGTTTTTCACCCACAGCAAGTGTTTCCAATGTTGTGGTAACCTCAAACACTACAGACTTGGTGGAATTCAACAGTACTATGAGTTTGTCCTGCTCCTCGTCTGGATCCTCCCTCTCTTTCCTCTGGCTGAACGGCAGCTCTGAGGTTACAGCCAGCGACAGAGTTCAGCTCACAGATGGAGGCTCCACTCTCACTATAGTTAATGTGACCCGCTATGACCAGGGACCATTCAGGTGTCGTGTGTTCAATCCTGTCAGTAATGGCACAAGTGATCCTGTAAACCTCACCATCAGCTGTGAGTTATTAACCTACATGTGCATAACATTTATCTTGCACTATATTCATGCAGTTTGCTCTGTGCTGTGGACATACAGCTTCAAAGATACATCTTTGATCTTCATTTGATGGTGTACTGAGGCGTCGCACTGAGCTAAGCTGCATGTTAAGTAGCATTTTCTTCAAGCTGCTAACATTACTACTTTGTTGTTGCTTTTTACTCCCCATACGGCACACACTGTAGATGGCCCAGAAAATATTTATTTCACAATATCTCCGACACAAGAATACTTTGAGGAAGGATCAAACACCAGTCTGTCCTGTTCAGCTGTCTCCAGACCCTCTGCCTTGTTTAACTGGTTTCTGAATGGAGACCTGCAGTCTGATACTGGATCAGAGCTCACACTGATAAACATTCAGATGAGTCACAGTGGTAACTACAGCTGCCAGGCCTTTAACAAAAAAACCATGAGATATCAAACTTCTCAGCCATCAGTTGTCTCTGTACTGGGTAAGTTGAAATGAATAGGTTTTTACTGTAGTGGCACATTCAACAAGATAGCATTTTATTGTCAGTAGTGGCATTTGGATATAGTACTGGAATTAGCATTCTGTTAAAGGTGGGGGTTGCCATTCTGGACAAATATCCAATATCACACCAAATACCATGATTTGGAGCAAATGATGACACAGCAAGTAGCTATAGTCGTGGGTTAGCAAACTTACGCCACAGTTGCTGCTGCAAAGCTAAAATGCATAATATAGATAATATAGTTAGTTGTAAACATTTCCCATTTACAGAGCCAAGGCTGTGTTTTTTTTGCGCACACACACTAAACAGGACAGCTATGGACCTTGAGAGCTATTTACTGTATTTGACAAAAGACGTGTATCGGATTGAATCACATACCTTTAACGCCAAATAATTTGTGTTTGGCAAGTGTGCTCTCAGATCAGATTACCTTATCTTAAATAACAAAAGACAAGAAAAACATTTTTGTGTAATCCAAGGAAAGTTAAAATCCAATGGACTTGGTTGAATACGTTTTGCTTCTTCAGTTCTGACTGACTAGCAGGGAATCCCAGCCATTTAACCTCTGTGGGGTCATTATCAAGGTGATGGATACCGCTTGGTTCATTATTTATGCATTTCTTAAATTAATAAGTTACAACTGTACTCTGAAAGTAACAACTAGATAGTTACACATAGCCCAGGAGGTGTAAATCATTAAATGTCACAGAATAAAGTTCAGCAATTGTTAAACTGCAGTTTTTCTGCCACACAGCATCATTTTTTATAAATTGCATACAATTATGCAACACTGCAATCCAGCAGAGCCCTTATTTTTGATAATCAAATTTTATGTGCTATGATGCCATGTGGCTCATACCAGCAAGAAAGCTAATGTGCACAAAACTATAATGATGGAATCTAGGATCTCTGATTGGCCACTCGCAATAGTTATGACTTTACATCAAAACTAGTTAGGTTCTGCCCCAATAATTGTGGGTGCAACCAATTTTAGTAGCTAATTTGTTACAAACTAACTAAGTAGTTACTAAGCCTCGACTTTGCACCCTAACCTAGGAGAGAAACTTAGGAGAGAACCCAGTGTAGGCCCCTAAAGCGATGGGCTTGAGCTGGTTCTTCTTATTTATCCACTGAGGGCCAGCCAACTCATCCTTGTTCATTTATTCTTACAGGTCGGTAAAAGTC